CCCTCTGTCCCCTAACCCAGATTTGCCACCCTCGCTTGGGAAATCTTTGTTTATAAAGTGGAAAGAACATGGTATATGTCAGTTCCGAGATCTGTTTATCAATGATACTCTTAAATCCTTCATAGACTTAAGGCAAGAGTTCAAGATACCAAGACAGGATTTTTATAAATATCTGCAAATTCGCCATTTGATAATTAGTCACGAAAAGAGAGGTCAACTATCCCTAAAGCTGTCCAATATAGAGGAGATTTTGGTGAACTCTGAATCTTTAAAAGGAAAAATCTCGGAGATATATTCTGCACTATTAGAATATTACAACTCTTCACTGGGATCACTTAAAAACGTGTGGCAAAGAGATTTGGGATATAATTTTAATGACGATCAGTGGGAGGCTATATGCCAGAATACTTTCATTCCCCTTTCCAATAACAGAATAATTGAACAAAATTATAAATTTATACATAGGATGTATCTGACCCCACTGCGTTTGAGCAAAATGTACCCTAATGTATCACCCAGGTGTCACAGATGTAAAACCTATTTAGGATCAATCATGCATGTTTTTTGGGAATGCAAAAAGCTAAAATTTTTCTGGAAAGCAGTACAGGACTTTACAGCCAAAGCTTTGCAAGTTCCATTGGACAACACACCAACACTATACCTCTTTGGTACAGAACTGAACAAGACACTTGATCCTATTTCTATAAAGAGACTCGGCATCATCTCCTATCTAGCAAAAAAATGCATTTTGCTCAACTGGAACCAACAAAAACCTCCAACATTTGAACTCTTTATAAAACTCTTGAATGAAACAATGCCCTTGGAACAATATACATACTACTTAAAAAACAAAGGGGATGCCTTTCAAAAAATATGGATGCCTCTAATGATTCTCTGACTCTATGAACACATCTGATGTATTTTCACAATATGTGTGACCTTAATCACTGCATAACTTTGTGTATTATGTTTTATTTTTATTTTTTTTGGTATTTTGTTGGTATGTTTATTTATTTCTTTATTATTATTATTTTGAAATAATTTATTTATAGATTTTTTTTTTTCTCTTTGCCTTTTGCTGCTATATTTGTCTACTGATATATTTGTCTTTGGCCTTTTTTGTTTACGTTTGTATGTTCATTAAAACCAATAAAAAAAAAAAAAAAAAAAAAAAAAAAGTGTCGTTCAGTCGATGATGTTTGGAGTAAAGATTAACTTCTAAATTAAAATAAACGAAAATACAGCACAATTCACTGGTTTATATAAACTCAAAGCTCTCCCGCGTGCATGTTCAGGAACATTCACTGACTGTGTCCACAAAAGAAAAGGAAAACCGGCTTTCTCTCTAGAAGTTGGGGAGCGCCCTCTACAGGAACCCATTGGTGACTACACTGTTTGGTAAACCCATTTCTATGGGGGTTACATTTATATTCACCGTTTTATTTAGGGAAACTCTTCAGATAAATAAGTGATATCTCTGAACTTTAATAATAAATCGAAACAAAATGCTGCGCTTCCCACCTCCAGTCGCAATGATTTTCGGGAATTCTAGAGTGCACAAGAACACGGGGACACAAGACCGCTGATGAACGCATATTCAGAAACAGCCCATCTCTCAATCATTAGCATAGGATGTTAGTCTTGTTTTTGAATCTGCCACTATGCTGACACACAGGCATTTGTAGCTCCGCCCACTTTTGAAAAAAAAGTACAATGTAAAGTAAAATGTAAATGTCGATTTGAATGTAAATCGACAGTCAACAAAACAACACAATTAGGATCAAAGCCTAAAAGGGTCAGTTTCAGAGAGTTAGAAAACATTATTTCTGTGGTATATTGAGCTGAACTTTACACACACACACACACACACTCTAGAGACATTTTTTACATCATGTAAACAAGCATTTTTCAGGTAATCCAACAATTGTAAATATTAGTCAAAGATTACACAAGTAAACACAATAAAGGTTTTAATATTAAGGGAAAACAAAACACATTGTATATCGTTTTTAAAGTTATTTCAAGAGTTCGCCCTTAGCTGATGATTGATTATGGAGCGTGTTTGGCATGCTGTCCTGGGAGAGAGCCCTGAGCTCGTGATATCCTCGAGCCCGTGGCACCCTCTCCACCTATCCCCAACCCCCCACCCCCTATTGCAGGGTGTCTTTGCTGTCAATTTAGATTTGTCAATTTACTTATGTTACATGATTTTGGTCTCCGTGCTGCCCTGACAAGGAAATAGGAGGAGTAGGGGTGGAAGGGGGGATTCTTTAAGATGAAGATGGCTGAAGTAAGATACTTTGGTTATTTATAGGGGTTAAGGAGTCGTCTGATGGGCAAATCAGTGTTAGCTAATGTGAACCAGGTGCTATCAATCATAAGCGCGTGCTCCTCTCGAAATTAGTTTATAAATAAACTTCACTGAATGATTTAAGTAATTTAAATACAGTTTTAATTTTGTAATTAGTAGCGCTGTTAAAATTAACGCGTTAACGCATGCGATTAATTTTAAATAATTAACGCGTTAAAAAAAATTAACGCAATTAACGCATGCAGGTTTTTTTTCCTTCCTTTCAAGAGTTCACACTTAGCTTATAATCAATAAAGCGTATTTGGCATGCTGTCCCGGGAGAGAGCCCTGAGCTCGTAATATCCTCGAGCCCGGGGCTCCCTCCCGTTAGAAGGGCGAGAGGGGAATTTGAGGTCAGGTAGGTCTCGAGAACTCCCCTGCTTGTCACCGTGGGAAGTGTAAACTAAGGTTGTATTGGGTGATAATTTGTTTTAGTCGATTGGCTATGGTTTATGTTTTTGGACGGTGGGAGGAAACCGGGGATCCCGGGGAAAACCCACGCGAACACGGGGAGAACATGCAAACTCCACACAGAAACACCAACCAGCCCGATGGGTTGGACTAGCGGTGTTCTTGCTGTGAGGTAACAGTGCTAGCCACTGGGCAAACGTGTCGCCCGATCAGAAAAAGTGGGAGGATTTAGGGGTGGAAAGGGGGGGGAGATTCAAGACGAAGATAACTGGAGTGAAAAACTCAGGTTATTTATAATGCTTCTGTAATCATCTAATAGGGTTGATTACGGAGCTAACAAGGAGCCAGCCGTGTTAATTATAAGCACGTGATCCTCTCGAAATTAGTTTATGAATAAACCACACGTTGTGGTGGACGTGTGTTCAACATGTAATAAATGTGGATAAGACCAAGGAAGCACTTTTTGAAGGCAAGTTCAGTATAAAACAATTAGTTGCATCACAGGTTATCCAGAGTTTCATGCAATTTCGGGTGTTTCATTTTTAACTTTCGACATCTGTTGTAAGTTGATACCGCATGGCGAACAGAAAGAAAATCCTCCGCATTTCGTGACTCGGTGTTCCTTTACGGTAAGGTTCCTTTTAAGGCTACACGGTAGAATTTTAAGAGTATTATCTTAATCATATTAAAATCGGAGTATTGGTGTCTTATGTAAATGTACTCAGTACGTCTGGTGAAGTCGCGAGCTGTCAAAGACAGGGCATTACTCTGCCTTTCAGCATGAGCCCTCCAAGCTTAGCTCATGCTTCATTAAAAAAAGTTTCATTAAACGCAACGAAAGCGTATGCTTCGCGTTGTTGTGTCAGAATCCTTGTGAAATACAGTAATACTTTAGGGCGCTTAGTTTAAGCGAATTTGATGAACGTGATCATGCGTGTTGAATCTGAGGGGAGTCGCTCCAGTATGGAAGGCCGTTGGGGCCAAAACGTCTGCAGCGCGTTGTGTGTGTGTCTGAGTGTGTGTGTCTGTGTCAGGCATGTTGAGGGGTGTCAGGGGTGGAGTGAGCGACGTATCTGAGTAGGGGCGAGAGGGGTGTGCAATGTATTTAACGACCGGTTTGCAAGAAATTATCATTCATTTGCGGGCATTTGGGAGTCTCTGTGCACTTGCAGGATACTCCTAGTCTTAGCAACTGGATGAATGTAAAGGAGGATTAAGCAAAATTGTTTCTACTCTATAATTAATGTTCTCAACTCACAGCAATAAAACTTTACAATGAGTGCAACAGTTTGTATTCAATAGTTTATTATTATAATTTTTCATTTTCCTCATCTGCAATTCCTGTATTTTGGCATTTTTTTGCAGTCCACTAAGAATCCAACATGGAAATCAATGTTTTCTTTATTGGCATTGATTGTTTTGAAATTTAAATGTCATTAACATGACTGTGTTTTAATTTCTGTAATAAATATGGCTGTCAAGCCAGGATCTTGATTGTTTATTGTGGGTTTGTTGTTTGCATGAAGAAATCTGTGTTGCAAGTTAAACAAAAATTCTATTAAACAATTATATTTTGAATTTAAATAGTTTTTGTCTTGTGTTTAAATTAATTTTACATTTAAATAGCCAAAATTACAAGTTTCAGTATTTTAAATGCGATTAATTTTTTTAAAAAGGTGCGATTAATTAGTTAATTTTTTTAATCGATTGACAGCACTAGTAATTAGTCATTAGTAGGCCCACACGGAATCTGCGCAGCCATTGCAATTCAGCAGATTTTCCGCATATTTTTAGCCCATCATTAATTCTGTTTATTTACTTTTGTAAATGTGTGTAAATCTATATTTATTCAGTTTTTAAATTACAGGAACTAATGTGAAAATGTTCATCTGATTTATGTACAATGCAGTTTGTAAAGTCTTTTGGTAGATATATTATATGTATTATATGAGAGACTTGCCACCAAGTAAAGTGGATCTAATTGGATTTGCATTTTAAACTTTAAATAAAAGTTAAAAAGATATTATTTGTTATTTGACGTATTAATATTTTAGTTATGATAATCCCAAAATAATTCCGCAGAAATCTGCAGATTTTTAACAAAATACTGCGCAGAAATATCAAATAGCGTCCACAGATTCCGTCTGGCACTAGTCATTTGTAATTAATTACTTTTTGGAGCACTGCTCCTACACAATGTGTGTGTTTGTGCGAGACTCACCTTGTGTGTGTGTTTCAGAGTAAAGTTCGCAGTCCAGTGAGTGGCAGTCCAGACGGAGGGCGAACTCCACCGGCCCCTACACCCCAGCTGATGTCCCACAGACCCTCACATCCCAGCAGCCCCCCATCAGACGGCCCACACACGTGAGTCCAGAGACACTGACTGTGTTTCCATACACATATCAGAGCTCAACGCTAACAATTTTTTCTGCTGGCACGATCAGGGCAGTTGTTCAGATTTTTACTTGCCCTGCCAAAATTTTCACTGGCCCCACCAAAAAAAAGAGAAGTTAATAGCTATTTCTTTAGCCACATATTATAAATAATGTGTCAAAAGCCAAACATAACTTCAACATAACTTTTCTTTAAATACAACTAACAATTTAAAAAAATACAATTGAGATGTAAATTAAAAAAAAATAATAATAATTATATATATGAGCAATATCACACGAGTAGCAGTGCAATATGGCTGTATATCAGCACTGGTGGGAGGCATGCGTTGGCACGAGGCTGCAGGCCAAGTGTCTTAGTGTCCCACCAGTGCTGATTTACAGCCACATCGCACTGCTACTTGTGTAATATTGCGTTTATACAACAGTTCGACGGCACAATCGTATTTTAAAAAAAAAAGAAAATCAAACACGGAGAGTCTAAAAACTCTTTTGTATTAGGAACTACTTTCTTCCGCCATTCATTCACATCAACAGCTGACGTCAGAACGGCAGAAGCCGTTACTAATTCACCAACTTAACAATAGAGCTAGTGTTTGAATGACTCTCTATAGCGTAATGTCTAAAGTGAAGACAAAGCAGCTGATTTTGCTCACATTTTAAGATTATAAGGCTGAAAGTGACATGAAATGCCATCCGTCTACAGAGATTTCTTCTCACAGTGTTACTGTCTACAGTATTTCTCTGTTGCAATTGGGATATCACAATAATTAACCATGAAAAAAAGCAACGCAATCACTACCAGACTGCTGTTGTGTTTGCGATAAGGAGGGGGTGTTCAGGGAGGTCTCTGAATAACACTGTTAAGGACCAGGATAGGAAAGTAACTGTATTAAAATAGGCACTGTACTTATAAATAAACTGCATACAATGTACAAATATAATACATAATATATAATATAATATATAATACAAATATATATATATTTTTTTTAAATTTACATCTCAATTGTAATTTTTTAAATTGTTAGTTGTATTTAAAGAAAAGTTATGTTGAAGTTATGTTTGGCTTTTGACACATTATTTATAATATGTGGCTAAAGAAATAGCTATTAACTTCTCTTTTTTTTGGTGGGGCCAGAGAAAATTTTGGCAGGGCAAGTAAAAATCTGAACAACTGATAGATGGGGACGCACTGTCTCTCAGAAATTAGAAGTATTTAAAATAGGCACTATCCTTATAAATAAACTGCATAGTTGCAATCTAAACAACTACATTCTCCACTAAAACAAAAACTCAAAGTTCATGATGTTGCCCAACAGCTGCAATATTTGCCAAACTGTAGTGAGTTTATTGATCGACTGTCACTCTATGTGGGCGGAGTAATACACAAAGGTGAAGAGGCTGTACGAGTGCTGTTATTGCAGAATATCACACTGCTATCAGCCAATCAGATTCGAGAACCAGACAGAACTGTTGTGTAAATATTTAAGTGAAAATGTGCACTTTAATTTTGATAGCCACGGACATCGTCACCAAATATAAATCAGAGAGGTCAGACTTTCTCATACATGGCCTTATTTCAGTTGTCAAGTTTGTAAAAATCTATCAATTGAATTAATTCATCTATTAAAAAAACCTGAAAAAAAATTCTGCATTATAGGCTTTCATTATAGAGAGAAATAACAGATGAACAGAGACTGCAGTCAGATCATGAAGCGGATCAATGTTGATCTTTCTGTCGAGGTGTCAGTGCAGAAATGCACAAAACAACAGGCCTAACACGAAATATAATGAGATTAAAATATGGAAAAATGATCAGATGATAAATTCTTTACATTTTCCTAACAGATAAAGAGCTCTTGTTAATATTTCAGCATGCTTTCACTTTTATATTTGACATGAAACACACATTTCCTGTAGGAATGACATCTCGCGCTGCTCATCATTCTCTCTTCATACAGCCGTATATATGGCTATTACACAATCATAAGACACTGGTGTAAAGTCTGGATCATTAGTTCGTTGGATCATTTTGCTTTTGATTCACTCCGAGTTCGTTTCAATCACCTCATTCAGGCGATCTCAGACCAATTGTTTCGATGTGGATCTGAGCGCAATTGCGGGAACCCCTCTAGCTGGGCAAACAAGGTGTGAAAGCGCCCTATTTGCACGCAATTGACAAACATTCACAGCCATAAAGTTTAGTGACAAGGCAGCACTGACCTGATCCGGCCAGTAACCATTCTGCCTACCTTTCCGAGCATCTCAGACGCTGGCTCTGGGCCATTATTGTCGAGCCCTGCATATTTTAATGCACATTTTGGAATACTGCATGAAATTGCTTGATCGAAACCCCAAGATATGCACATACATTACATACACGCAAACCCTTTAATTGGATACGACAAAATGCTCATAAACTAAGATGGACACACATTTAGTGAATAAACTCCAGCATGCGCATCAGTAACGCCCTGATTTAGTTTGAACAGATGATAGAAATGTGTGTTTCAGAGACTTTGCATTAATGGAGTTTGCAGCTTCACATTGTTGCAGATCTGAAATGTTGTTTTGCTGAGTGTAAAATGCTTCAGCCGTCAGTCCGTCATCATAGAGCTTCAGTATTACTATTGTTCTGTTATTATTCCCTCCAGAACTGTCTTGAGCATCTGCCTTTGCTCCCACAGAGCATCTCACGCCTCCAGAAGCCACCGCATTCACCGCGTTTATATCGTCTTTGTTTCTAAGACACAACTCATTTATTAGAGAAGAAAAACACCACGGTGGCTTCTCTACCGCACTAAACTATGTTTCCCTGTCTGATATTTGCTCCAGTTTATCAGGAAGTGATGATTTTATTCTCTTTGACTCATTGGATGGAAACGCTGCTTTATTCACTAATGTTTTATGAGATATTACAGATTTGAGCACAAGTTTGCATTGAAACATGACTACTAACAAACACACTGCATTGATTCGCATGTTTCCGTCATGTGTTTCTCTCTCTCATTTGTGTGTGTGTGTGTGTGTGTGTGTGTGTTCAGCGAGGAGTCTCTGCATGTGATTGAGGAAAGCAGGATATTTGAGAACCGCCTGCAGAGTTTAGTGCAAGACACCATTCAGGAGACGGAGAGCAGCATGCAGGTGAGCAGCGAACTCACAAACACAACTACTGCACTTCATTACAAAGAGATGCTACTGGATGTTAAAGTAATAAACTGAATGTTTATTAGTGTCATTTATAAGAAATGTTGCACATCCTAAGTAATTATGATATACACTCACCGGCCACTTTATTAGGTACACTTTACTATTACCGGGTCTGACCGCCTTTTGCCTTCAGAACTGCCTTAATCCTTTGTGGAATAGATTCAACAAGCTACTGGAAATATTCCTCAGAGATTTTGCTCCATATTGACATGATAGCATCATGATCGCAGTTGCTGCAGATTTGTCGGCTGCACATCCATGATGCCAATCTCCCGTTCCACCACATCCCAAAGCTGCTCTATTGGATTGAGCTCTGGTGACTGTGGAGGCCATTTGTGTACATTGAACTCATTGTCATGTTCAAGAAACCAGTCTGAGATGATTCACGCTTCTGATATGGTGCATGATCATGCTGAAAGTAGCCATCAGAAGATGGAGACACTGTGCTCATAAAGGGATGGACATGGTCAGCAACAATACTCAGGTAGGCTGTGGTGTTGACATGATGCTTGATTGGTACTAATGGACCCAAAGTGTGTCAAGAAAATATCCCCCACACCATTACACCACCACCAGCCTGAACAGTTGATACAAGGCAGGATGGATCCATGCTTTCATGCTGTTGATGCCAAATTCTGACCCGACCATCTGAATGTGTCAGCAGAAATGGAGACTCATCAGAGCAGGCAGCGTTTCTCCAATCTTCTATTGTCCAGTTTTGGTGAGCCTGTGTGAATTGTAGCCTCAGTTTCCTGTTCTTAGCTGACAGGAGCGGCACCCGGTGTGCTCTTCTGCTGCTGTAGCCCATCTGCCTCAAGGTTGGACGTGTTGTGTGTTCAGAGATGCTCTTCTGCAGATCTCGGTTGTAACGACTGATTATTTGAGTTACTGTTGCCTTTCTATCAGCTGGAACTAGTCTGGCCATTCTCCTCTGCCCTCTGGCATCAACAAGGCATTTGCGCCCACAGAACTGCCGCTCACTGAATATTTTCTCAGTAAACCCTAGAAATGGTTGTGCGTGAAAATCCCAGTATATCAGCAGTTTCTGAAATACTCAGACCAGCCCATCTAGCACCAACAACCAACCTTTCTTCCTCATTCTGATGGTCAGTTTGATCTGCAGCAGATCGTCTTGACCATGTCTACATGACTAAATGCATTGAGCTGCTGCCCTGTGATTGGCTGATTAAAAATTTGCGGTGTACCTTATATTGTGGCCTGTGAGTTTATATTTTATGGATTGTGTAATAATTGTAATGATTAGTTTGAATGATAGTTAATATAATATAATTTTAATGGTTAATTTTAAAAAGTCATTAATCATATAATAGCATTTTTAAAAATACAAAATAAAATCATAAAATAAAAATGTAAAAATAAAATTATACAGAATAAAACAACTGACCTATATATGAATGAAAACTACAAATGAATTATTAAAATTGAAATAAGTATACATCTCGGCTTACGATGTTAGAATTGATGCATAAACGAGTGTTAAGTTACTTTAGAAATGAACATTATTATAATTGATAATAAAAGTTGTTTGTGGTTGGTTCATGTAAACTATTTTAGTAACAAAACACATTAATTTTACTTTAAAGTGTTACTAATATTTGAACTTTTTTTAACCTAACACTAGCACACACTTATATACATGGCTTACAAGCACTCTCCATAGCCGTAATGTATTTTATACAGTAAAAACCTCTTATTATACGGCCCGACCACTAAAACCCAGTAAACGTGAACAATTTTGAATGCCGAAAGACCTTGTTAAGTAAGATTTTTAAGGGTTTTGAAATACAGGGACACCATTTAACCACTTTAATAAAGCACAATTAAGTCCCACCCAATGTCAACTCACAATTTTGTGTCCCTGTAAACCACATAAACCTGTACACACACACACACAAACACTCTATTAATAATGGCTGATGTTTCTGTTCAGATTCTGCGGGAGTGGGAGTGGCTGAACGGAGGACAGGATCTGGCTTGATGGCAAATGAAAAATCAAATGAAAACTGTAGTCAGACAATCAACTTAGTTCCTCAAGAGCCACAAAAATAAGCACATGATGCTCTACTGCCACCTGCTGGAGAAACTCTGTGTGTGTGTGTGCTCTCAAATCACACTGGAGTCTTTCTGAAGGCACTTCTGAAGGCACTTCTGTGGCACTTCTGTGGTTATGCAGGTTTTTATTCCTCTTGTTGTCATACATCTACACACTTAACTATTTTCCAGCTTGCCTGATGGTTTTTTTCTGCCGTCTGCTTTGCACTTTTCACGTTCATCATGTGTTTCTGTTCTATTAATGTCAGTGACTGTGTTTACATGGACATCAGTAATGGAATTATTAGCCTTAATCTGAATAAGACAGTAATATGATAAAGGTGTTTACATGAGTTGCTTGATCCAGTTTAACATGTTATAGCACATAGATTGATTAACGTCATTGCGTCTCCGCGCCATCCACATTTCCTACGGAGTTTCTGTAATTTCGGGTGTTTCATTTTTAATTTGTGGACTTTAATTGCAGTTCCACTTTCATTCAGGAACATTTCATGCATGCCCTCCGTGACAAACCAGATATTGGATGTGAGGAACTGCTGGAAGAGTCTAGTTTTAATGGAGTTTGATACCATGCTTAATGCTACTTAATGCTCACAAACCATTCACATGGCCTCCATTTCCCAGGTGGGTAAAATTCTCTACTTGTATACCATCTCTATAAATGTATTTGTTTTATTTGGGATAATTTATCATTTACATTTGCCTTCAGAACCATAAAGCACTCCAGACTCTGACGGATTGATTAGCTGTAGGCTCTAGAACAGTCATCTGGGGTCCGTTCTTCGTACGTGGATTACTCAGTTAGCTGGATTTGGATATTGACGATTTGACATGATCCAGGATCGTTTCGTTCTTCAAAGCTGATCCGAGAGTTGTTGTCATAGCAACAGTTCTGCTAGCTCAAACCTGATCGGGAGCAGGTTCAATTCATATAAACAGGATTAGATCGGCTCAGTTCAAGCAAAGATAATACAGAAAGTATGTACTGAATTCTGATATTTTCTTACAGTAGTAGTTGTATACACTTGGGAAAATGGTACATATTTACTATATATATTAAGGTATAGTCATTAATAGAATAAATAAAGTTATACATATTAATGAAACATATGCAATCTGCACCCTCGAAATGAAAGTATAAAGACTGCCACCTGGTGGTGCAAAGAGAAAACTTATTGATATGAACTTTTTAGATCGCTTTAGTACAAATTGTGTATAATAGAAATGCACAATATGTGACTTTTTTTTTTAAAGCAATAATACATTTATGCAGTCATAAACATGTTTTGATTGTTAATATGCCGGTGATTTGATGCTTCACAAAAGTTGCAGACACCTTTACCAATATGAAACTGCTTTTGTAAACAACCAGTTATTCTTTACACCGATTAAAAAACGGCCACTATAATAAAGAAAATCTTCTCTAAATGTAGAACTAAATACATTGATTTGCATTGAAATACATGATGAATACTCTTGACACATGAAAGTGTAAAGCCTGCAGCTCACAACAAATGTGGAGAGTTATTGAGTGTCATATTTAACAAGCCGTTTACCAAGCCGTCTAATTTGATGTAATTTTGCTCACATGGATAATTGAATATTAATCAGATGATGTCATTACGCTGCTGTGCCGTCAGCCAATCTTTGCATTGCTGATCATGATTTCGAGGATGGATAGATCTGTCCTTCACAACACATGCAGCGATCTCAGATCAGTTCATCCAGACATTCTAATCTGATTCATAAACTTGTTTGAAGAACCAAATTAGCGAGAGATCAGTTATCAAGATTAACAGATCCAGGATCTGCCAAATCATCTTAGATCATTTAAGCGAGGTACGAAGAACGGACCCCTGAAGTGTTGTCATGCAGTGTTATGCCTGGACTTCATCAATAGTCCTGCATTTACTAACACAGACTATATCTGAAGTGTTAAGAAGTAATTCATGTTTTCCTCCTGTAGAAAAACGTCATAAGGACAATGTTTAGTGGCTCAGTGTATTACAGCAGTGTTTTTAAAAGTCTAAACACTTTATTGATATAGTGTACAGCCAAGCACATGTGGTCAGAACACAAACGAGTCGCAGGTAATGAAGTATTAAGCGTTTCTCCCAAAGAAAAGCCTGTCTAAGCAAAATACCAGCAGGCATCTGTAGCTCCACTGACGCTCTGCCTCTTTGCCTGTGTGGTATGCCCCGGTCGGTGCGATGACACGCGAACAAAATAGCGACGGTTGGCCATGATTACTTGTAGCTTCATTTGCGCTGTTCAGAAACCTGTGGGTGGCGTCACGGATACTACGTCCATATCTTTTACAGTCTATGATATAGACTATCCTGTCACAAAATATAGCATAAAGTCTACACGCCGCTAATAGTTTGCGGTGTTTACATGTCTGTACTACACTTCAATAATGACATTAAAATCTGCATACTCCACATGTCCTAATTCTATTTCTGTTTAGTTCAATTATGACTTTAGTCGGATTAAATAAAGAAAAATCGCTAATTACATGGTAGACTCTTAATCAGAGTATTATTTGCAATTAAAGTATTGGTGTCCATGTAAACATACTCATTGAATACTCATATAAATATGTTTGATTATTGATGCAAGTTGCTTTGGATAAATATGTTTGCTTATTGAATAAAATGTAAATATAAATCCATCCTGGCTTGATGGATCGGCCACTTGATATTGAGGTGTAAACGTGGATGATTGTTGTCGTTTTAATCCTTTAGGATGCCATGGATATTTCATAATAGAAAGTAAACCAGTCCGAATTAGTGTATGAATTAATGAACTATATAAATATAGCTTCAGTTTGGGAATATATTTTTATATACTGATAAGAAATGGTACTTAGGGTTATTTTTAATGCGTAATACTTGAATTTAAAGGGGACCCATTATGTAAAACTCACTTTTATAAGGGGTTTAAACACAGTTGTGTGGCGACAGTGACAACCTCTAATGAATCAAATGTATTAATGTTATGTTTTATAATCAGACTTGATAAAAACAGTTTGCCGAAACACTTTGATTGACATTCTCCCTTCGTACGTGTCATCAGAGGGAGAAAGCCCCGCCCACTAGTGACCATCTCCCCTTCATTAGCATAAACAGCCCTGAGTGAGAAGCAGCCGTCTGATGTTAAGAGTTTTCACCTGTTTTTTTCACACAGATGTTAGTCCTGTTTTGAATCTGCCACTATGCTGATGCAGAGGCGTTTGTAGCTCCGCCCTCTTTTGAAAAGAGCAAAATCTTTTGAATTTAAATTTTTTTAAAAGAAATTTAAAAAAAATTTGAATTTAAAGCAGCAGTCACCAAAATACTTTACACAATTACAAATAATAAGTTATAAAATATTATTTGTGGGGTATTTTGAGTGGAAACGTCACACACATTCTCTAGGGACTTATTTTACATCTTGTAAAAAGGGGCATAATAGGTCCTCTCTAAAAAATATATGCCAAGAAAGAGTTTTAAAGCTGAGAAAATTATATTTTGTTCTGTGTATATGCAGCTGTGTTATCTGTCATGTACTTCTCTCAAGCTCTTAAAATGTAATTTTTTTAAATATATATTTTCTGGAGTCATTTAGTTTCTTGAATCTTATATACATGCATTTAAGCTGAAGTTAATTAACATTTATTAAGTTTTGTTCTAATTATTTGTACTCACCTAAAGCACAAGTTTTTTTTACATAAAATAAATGAAGTTATGTATCCAACTGTTTTAGTTTTTGTCATTTAATTTACATTTTAATTAAATTTTTAAACATGAAGGCATGATGGCTTAGTGGTTAGCACTGTGGCCTCACAGCAAGAAGGTTGCTGGTTCAAATCCCGGCTGGGTCAGTTAGTGTTTCTGTGTGGAGTTTGCATGTTCTTCCTGTGTTGGGGTGGGTTTCCTCCGGGTGCCCCAGTTTTCCCCACAGTCAAAACACATGCACTATAGGGGAATTGCCAACCTACGTCACAGATGACGTCACACGTGTTCAACCGCGCTTGTATTGATCGTAAGGTGCCAAAATTGAAAGTATAATATGCCAAAAAATATCAAACTTAACCTTTACCGTACACCACACTGCTTTTAATGTCAACCGCAAAGGGAACTAAATGGAGTAAGGACCTAATTAAAAATGCTTGACTGGTCTGACTCACTTCGTGGGTTTAGTAATTAATTTTAAAAAGCTGTCCAACATGGAACGGTGTTAGCTAAAAAAATCGAGTCTTCACTGAGGTCCGGCATTCTCCAGCCTCCGGCACCTAGACTGCAGCTCTGCACAAGACGACATAGGAGAAATGGTCATGCCCAACTGTTTCTTTTGAGGTTTTTATTTGTTTACTTTCACCAAATGGTGAAGTTTTTTCCTCGCCGCGGTCGCCACTAGCTTGCATGGTTCGGGATCTGTAGAACTGCACATCGATGGATTTGCTCTTCAGTGTTTGGACTCTCAGCAGTGATTATTAAACCACACTGAACTGAACTAAAATGAACTTAAACACTAAAAAACTGAACTACACTGTTTCAATTTACTATGATCTTCTATGTGAAGCTGCTTTGACACAATCTACTTTGTAAAATCGCTATATAAATAAAGATGAATTGAATTCATGGGAAAAGGCATCAAAACCATTTTGTAAATCCTGCCTTTCAGAATTCTCTACCACTTTACATCTAAAGAGACTAAAACATAATCTTTCTGATAACATTGCCGGTCACCTGGAAATCTTTTTTATATTATTTGTCAAATGCCTAGTATAACAGTTTAAAGGTATAACCCTGTCATCGTCTGCAAGATCACCATATTGCCTGCGCACACTGGCCTAGATGTATACAGTATGTGTAACATTGTTGACCCATGTCTAATACTGGAGGAACTGATGTAATGATGGTTTTATAATCTTTTTTTCCTGTCTTATGTCCTTTTTTGTCTTTAAAATTAAATTATTGTTGCTTTTTCTATTGCTCTGTGTTGCTTTAAGAAAATAAAAATATAATATTAAAAATAAAAAATGCTGGACTCTGCAGTTCTCATGTTATATCAGGTAAGTTCACGCAATGCTGAATCATACACAGTACTCGTTTTTGATTGCAGCAATGATTTCAGCAAAACAGTTAAATATGGGGAATTAAACTGCGGACACTGAATGCTCAGAATGGAAATGTAAGCATGTAAGTTCACATACCCTGCCGTACAGGTGCAGTTCACTGTCAAAATGCAGTTGTTTTGCTTGTTTAAGATTACCCTGGCCTTGTACAGCTCCGTCTTCTTTCCTTGTCTTTGGCTAGGCAGAATCTTGGTTTTTAGCACTACATAGTGTTGAATCTGGTAATCATGGAACATTATTTCTTGAACATGACCACACAAAACGACATTGTAAATATCCAAAGACGTGAAGAACTTTAACTTCTCTCTTGTAAAATCACTGGGAGTTTCAACGCATTTGGGAGGGCGCTATCGCAAATGGACCTGTCAGACGAACGCCGCACACTTCAACGTTAATTTTTGCAGAATAACTGCGCTTATCACTGGGTGACGAGCTGTTATAATACGCTGAAAGCATTATGTAAATAATATGTAATCAATAAAACTTATCTCTAAGACGACAACAAACCGCATCAGATGTCATTCCCTCGCTGTAAATGCTTGTTGTGCGCGCATCCTGAATGCTTACAAACCGGTAATTCGTCTATAGGTGAATTGGTGAGCTAAACTGGCTGAAGTGTATATGTGTCAGAGTGTGTATGGGTGTTTCCCAGTACTGGGTTGCAGCTGGAAAGACATCCGCTGTGTAAAACATATGCAGAAACAGTTGGCGGATCAATCCGCTGT